AAATATAATTGTACAAAGTTTTATTTAAATATTTTGACATCTTAAAAAAGTAAATCAGAGCTAAAAAAGTGCAAAAATGCAGACAAATTTGCCTGTGTTTTACTACAATCTAAGGAATAATCAGATATGATAGATTGGTGAATGTGGTGTCTGGAAGCTGACTTGATATACAAAGGCTAGAAAAGATGGATCTGAGGTTTCTGTGATACATAAATGATAAAAATTAATAAGATATTCAGAAAAAAAACTTTGAGGTTTGAAGTTTCTGGTTCACGTGATACACATAATACATATGCTAGTCAATAGAGTTAACTGAAATTATGAGACAAATAGTAATAGATGCTGAAGTAAGATTTGATTAAGCAATGATTAGTCAATAATAGGTACCAAAGTAAGATATAATTATGCAACAGTTGGTAGTATGGAAATACCAAAGTAAGAAATGAATTATGGAAAAAAAAACCTCTTCTGATTTTTTTAGTGCTAGTATTATTTGTATTAATTGAATATTTAGTAGTTGGTAAATGGGAATATTTGTATAATTACATTGGTGAAAACTTCGGGGATGAAGTTCTTGGGGTTCTAGCTTGTGTCATGATTTAATATGATACTCTGTGATTTTGTAGTGTTGATATCTAATCAGGATTAAGTATGTTGATAGCATGCGTGATCATAATGCAGGATTTAATTAAAAGTCTAATTGTAGATAGTCTAATGTGTGTAACTGGATATATTAATATCTGAATCAGATCTTGTAATATTTAAAGCAAACAATAAATAATAATAAATCAGTTCAGAGTTTGAGTTTTTTAGCTTAGTGAATATACCAATACCTGTGTGAACATCAAGAGTAGAAGAATCTGTACAATATACAGTTTTCAAATAAATTAGCCAAGTGAGTAAAGACTATTAGTAAAAGCAAAGAAGTGCATGGTCGTGTTGAGAACCTCTGTGACACTGGTTTTAGTTCTTGGGTTTGAATAACCCTCAGCAGCTTATTTGATTTTTTGCTATTGTTTTGAAAAATAATCCTATTCTTCAAGAAGAACATCCTTCTATTATTTATAAGTTTTCTTTTTTCCTTTTTAAACAACATTGGATCAATACATTGGTCTTGGAGATATTGCTTTAATTGATTGAATTTGATCAAATCTATTTTAATATTTCTTGTATCAGGACACTGACTACCTGGTTTGAATTTTTGCATATCGTTGGATTTGCAACATTAAACAATTCAAAGAGAATTCTTTCTATAGTTTGTTTGGGTATTTGACTTGTTCAGGTTCTTTAATATCTTTATTTTGCTTGGATACACTATGACACTATTACTTAATAGTGCAGACGTATCTTTAATTATTGCCATTTCTAACTTTTACAATTTGTCAATTCACTTCAATGATGCTACTATTTTTATTTGACCAATGTTTATAGTTATTTATTACACACCTTCTCAGAAGATTTTTGATAGCAGAAAAATACATTAGCATTTATCTATAACCAACAATCTAAACTTCAATTCCTATTACTTTCTTTTAATATGTTTTTTTTTTTTTTATCAATTTACTTTGATCTTCTAAACTTAGTCCTTATTGGACTCTTTCTAATCTATTGCCTTAATTAGCACCTGATTCTTTATGAATCAAATTTTTATCAATTTTCACTTAAATAAATAGGGCCTTAACTTGCCCTATTCCATCTTAACTAACCTTACTAATGTTAGGTCTGTAACTCGAATTAAGTTAAATAAAATCTTAATGATGTTACTACAGTACCTATACTAACTATGGGGTCTAACACAACTTCTAAGTATATATTTTTTTTTGGGTTATATGATCTTGAGAACATGAATGTCCGGAAAGGCATATAATATTAAAATATTAAAAGAAAAAGAATAATGATATTTATATATGTTTACTAATCCAGCTCAATTTCCACAGGTACTATAAGAACACCATTATCATTTACAAGTTTTTGTTTACACCCAAAGTTGATACCAGTTTGTAAAGTCATTAATTGCTGGGCTTCACTTTGTTGGACTTTATCTTGCATCTGATTTTGCAAAATCACTAATTTATTTGTGTCATTAGCAATTAAAGGATAGCCACAAAAATATACCCAATATACGGCCTCCTTTAAATTGAGCTCCTGGGCTGCTATATGGTCATTTAGGGTAGAATAGTTATAGAGGAAGAACTCATTTTTGAAGCACTGGGTTTTTCTCACAAAGACCAATTTCTGGCATCTTCTAGAAGTTAATTTAGTAAAAAGGAAGACAAGAATATATATTGGCATGTCTATATTTATTGCCTGTTCATCTTTTTCAACACCAATTCCTTCTGTGCTAATATTAATATCTTGTGGCTTAGAGATTTCTTTCTGGTCATCTTTTAGCCATTTAATAAATTCATCCATCACCACATCTTTTTGTTTCACTTGGTCGGCAAGGCTTTTATTAATCTTCTATTTTTCAGTCATGGTTTCTTCTTCCAGGGTAGTGTAACTTGTTGATTTATTGCTTATTATAGTGCAGGACATCTAGTCATATCACAGCACTGAATTTCGAAATGTATATATAAATATATATAGTAGCACTGAAATTTTAATAATTAGTGCTAAATTTTAAAATTTAGTGCTAAATTTTTTAAATTTATATAATGTTTAATAGTGCTAAAATTTTTAAAAAGGATTGAATAAAAAAAAAAAAAAAAAAAAATTAAAGTTTGAAAAAAAATTTTTAAGTATTTTTACAATATAAGTGCTGAATTTTTTATATTTATTAATAAAATAAAGTGCTGAATTTTTTAAAATATTAATAAATTAAAGAAATTTTAAATCAAAATAGCTTTTTAATAAAAAAGATTTTTTAAAAAAACTTTCTATGCCAATATTCTTTGGGTCTTAAATAATATTATTATAAAAAGTTTTTTTTAATTGTTTATTTTTTTAAAAAGTTATTAAACTTTTATTGCAAGCAATTATTTTGTAATGTGACTAGATGTCCTGCACTATACAACTTCAACTTGAGACTTGTCGTCATCTGACATTTCTTATTGTGAAGAGAAAGAAAAATTACTATCAGATAATTCTTCAATATCTTTATACTTGTGATCATTTTCTTCTTTTAAGGCTTCTATAATTTCTTCGAGTATAAGAGGCCAAGGAATATATTTTTTTTGCTTCCATTTCATCCGGGTTTTATTAGAAAAGTTTTCTTTATCTTGGACAGCCCTTAAGTCATCTACTAAATATACTTTATCCTGAGAGAGTGAGATTTCAGCACCTCTTTTATTCTTATATTCCCACTATTGCTAAGCAATGTCACTATGGCCCTCTCATAACAATCTTTGGCCTGATTCTACTTCGAAATTATGCAACAATTGTTTATACTCTTGTTCCTGTCGATTCATGTCTACTACCTCACTTTTATCAACTTCCTATGCATTCCATTGTCTTTCTTCTTCTTTAGTTCTTTTATAATCTATTTTTTCTATTTCATCTTCATAACTTTCTTTATCTTCATAGTTTTTTTCATATTTATTATCTTCTGAGCACCACTCTTCCTCACTATCTTCTATATATATTACATCAACCCTAAAAGCCTCTATAGCTTCTTCTTGTCAGTTTTCTTTCTCATTATCATTTACTTAAGGGAGACAGGATAGTGCATCTATATTAGAATGTACCTAACCACTCCTAAATCAATTTTAAAAATATAAGATTGGAGCTGGAGAATCCATCTTGCTCTTCTACTCTTCAATTTCGATGTTTCCAATCATTTAAAAGCAGTGTGGTCCATGATCACTACAAAAGACTTAATGCCTAAATAATAGTGGAAGTACTCAATTCTCCAAATTACCGCCAGGCACTCCAACTCGGTGGTAGAGTAGTTTTTCTTGGCATGACTTAAACTTCGGCTAGCATATACAATCATGTGTTCTCTGTTTTTTTCATCTTTCTGGGACAACACAGTGTCCCTGTAGCATCTATATGTAAATAGAATATCTTCTCAAAATACAGATACTGTAAAATAGAAAAAGTAGTCAAATAGCACTTCAATGTTTCAAATGCCTTATATTGAGGCTTGCTCTAATTATATGACACATTTTTTTAAAGTAGGTGATGCAAGAGTTAAGCAAAAGAAGCAAAACCCTTAATAAACTATTTATAGTAAGATGATAGACTAAAAATCCTTTCAATTGATGCAAAGTCTTTGGTACTAGATATTTCTGAACCTTGATAATCTTTTCATCATCTTGTCTAATTCCATCTCTAGTAATTTCATGGCCTAAAAACTTTAACAACCTTCTAAGAAAGTGACATTTGTTACTATTTAATTTTAACCAGACCTCCTGAAGCTTGATAAAGTCCCTTTCCAAATGCTCTATATGTTCTTAAAAAGTCCAAGATTAAACAGTAATGTCATCTAGGTAGACGGTAATGAATTGCCCAATATACTCCTTTAGTATATGGTTCATTAGCTATTGAAACATAGCTGGAGCATTATAAAGACCGAAGGGCATAACATTAAACTCATATACTCTAAATTTAGCAGTCAAGGGACATGTCCAACTGAGTGCAATTATATATAAATCAAATGAGTTGACTCATCCAATTTTATATATAAATTTATGCAAAAAAATCATTTAAATTAAATTTATTTAAAAACATATATATAAACCTTTTTTTAAATTTTAAATATATATTCTTTAGTATTTAATGTGACGGCTGATGCTGATTTTGACTGATGCTAAATATCACATGACATTTTGGTCTGGAAATTGCAGATCGGGAAATTTCAAAACAAACAGTCATTTGTCAAAATCGTTTACTTCTCAAAATTTTGCATAAGAAACTGCATTTTGTGCACTAACACAAATTTTCCCTAAACAATTTTACTACATAACCTTCTAACCTTCTAATTTCTAGGCACTAACCCTA